TTTCATTGTGTTCCCCCCTGAAGCGATCAGGAATTTGGAAGGTGTGTTTTGCTGGAGGCTTCAGAAGGAGACCTCTTGCGAGGTCAGGGACAGCTCTCCACAAGATTTGAAAGAAAACCTTGTCCCTCCATCCTCCCACACACCTGCTCTAGCATCTCTCTCTTTTCTGATTAACTTGCTTTTTCCTAGAAACTGGTAGTGCTGATTTACCTCTCTCTGACCTCTTCCACACTCACCTTTGCTGTGCACTTTCCGGGAACAGGTCCGAGCTTTCCAATTTAGAGAAGTTTTTGTTCATCCCGGTGCTCTCCCCAGGAAAACCTGTGTTTTGCCTCTGAATCAAAGCAAGCAGTAATCTGTGGAAAACCTGGTTGCCAATGGCTGCAATTCAGTGGTAAAGCACAGGAGTGCCAGGACAAAAAACCCAAAACCCTGCTCAGGCATAGACCTGTGCCTAGAAATGCAACATAAAATGAAGTGTGGATAAGCCCCCACTCACTCCCTCAATCCATAAGAATATAAGGAGAACCTGATGGATCAGACCAATGACCCATGTCCTAATATTGAGCTTTGTGCAATGTCCACAGGTTCTAGGATGATGAGGGATGGAGAAAAACGTTTCTCTGTCTGCTTTCTCCATGCCATGCATAATTTTATAATCTGTTTGTTGCCTCTTATTCACCTTTCCTCTAATTATTATTATTATTATTATTATTATTAATTAAATTTATATACTACTGATTGTCATGAGGACCTAAGGGCAGTTGGCAACATAGAACACAAGAGCTGTAATACAATTATAGTAAAGACAATAAGTGAGAAAATAAATAAACAAACCAAGCCTCAATAGTTTACGCTACAACCTTGCCTCATAGGGGAGTCTGAAGATTTATACGACCTGAAGAGAAACCATAGGGGAGTCCCTCCACCCCCATCATCATTTGGGTTGTCCCTTTCTGAATTCTCACCCCCCAGGCTCCCCACTCACACCTTCTCCTTTCCTGTTTCCTCACCCTCCCGAGCCCCAGCTCTGGGGGTCGCTAGGTGCTGTGGGTCTCGTAATGACGAACCCCCCCAACGTTTGTGACTGAAGAGATCCCCTGGTCCAACCTGCCACCTCTTCTCTCATCACCCTCTCCTGTGCTGGATCTGTGAGAGACTGAAATCTGTTTTTTAATAGAAAAAAGAAAAACCCACGATGGCAGCCATTTGCTTTAGGCCTTCATTTTTCACTCCTTGCAAGGTCACGGGCCTGTATTGTCTCTGTCTAATGGGATGCTATTAAGGCCTGGCCCGTAATGTGCAAGCCACATCACATTCTGCCATGTGAGATCAAACCCCGGGCAAGTTTCCAATTTCCTCCTGTCCGCCTGCAGTGATCTTATCAAAACCTGAGTGATCTCTCTATAAAGAAATCAAACTGGAAGGCGTTCTGTGGCCGGCTTTCCTTCGAGGCAGATGGATGGAGGAGCACTGGGTGGCTGCTAACGGCCTCCTCTGTCCTCCCCCACCCAGATTTCACTTTCCCACTGGGAAAGGTCAAAATGGCGATTGCCACAGGGGGTGCTGGAGAGGCCAGTGCTCACTCAGAAACATATGCTGCTTTTCACCCCTGGCTCCTCCATCACACCTTTCCAAAGTTCCATCTCCATTCAAGCGCCGGTGGAGTTTTCGCCATTCAGCATCTCATTTCCTGGGGGAAAGCGCATGGTGGCCATTTTTACCATAGAAATGGGTCAACCTCACATCTGTTCGTTGTGTGGTGAAGCCCGACCCTCCCTTAAAAGAAACAGCAACCCCAAAGACAGAAGAGGTTGTAAAAGATGTAGCCTCAGGACAGCCAGTGTGGTATTAGTGGTTACAGAGCTGGACCAGGATCTGACAGACCAGGGTCCAAAGTGACACCCATTGGGTGACCTTGGCCCAGTTACAATCTCTTAGCATAACCAGCCTTGCAGGGCTGTTGTAAGGATAACAGGGAGAGAGAACCACGTGTACCACCTTGAACTCCTTGGAGGAAAACGTATACTGTAAAGTGTGTGTGTGTGTGTTTGTTGTAGCCAATGTTGTAGCTCTACTCAGTAGAGCCCACAGAAGCCAATAGATACGGCTAATTTAGGTTCATTTTGCTCTGAGCAGAACTTGGAAACAACCTTATATAGTGGTACCTTGGGTTACAGATGCTTTAGGTTACAGACACTTCAGGTTACAGACTCTGCTAACCCAGAAATAGTACCTCGGGTTAAGAACTTTGCTTCAGGATGAGAACAGAAATCGCACGGCGGCAGCAGGAGGCCCCATTAGCTAAAGTGGTACCTCAGGTTAAGAACAGTTCCAGGTTAAAAACAGACCTCCAGAATGAATTACTATGCTATGGTGTTAAGAAACAGAGAATTGCAGCTGTAAATCATAAATTTAAGGGAATTATAATGAAGATGAGTTAATTAATTAAATGGAGGGTTGCTGTCAAAAGGGAAAAATAAGGATGCAGAAAAAGGGAGGTATGGGGAAGTCCGGGAAATAAGGTGAAGGAAAATGAGTTTATGAAATTATACATGTTTATTTGTTTGTATGTTTTGTTTTGTTTTATTGTTTGTTTTTATTACATGATTGGAAAATTAATAAAAATTATTTTTTAAAAAAAACAGAATGAATTACGTTCTTAACCTGAGGTACCACTGTAGCTCCTTATGTGTGTGTCTGTGTATGTAAGGCAGTCATCACACTCGGCATTTCGCGTGGCTGATGACGGACAGGCCCAGGCAAGTTGCTTAACAGAGCAAGGGGAGTGTGCTGTGAAGTTCCACCACCCGCTCTAAAAGGGAGTGTGGCTTGGCGTGGGAGGGGCTTAGGGTAAGCCGGAAGGGGAGGGGTTTGGGCAAGCTGTAGTGGGGGTGTGTGGGCAAAAGTGTGGGTGAGGTGTAAAGGAAGTACGGTTGATTAAATGTGGGGAAAGGATGGTTGGGAAAAGGGTAGGAGGGGGTTGGGTATGGAACGAGCTGGAGTGGCCACTTCCAGTGTTTGTTTTAGAACTACACTAGAAAAGTTGCTGCAAAAGAGACACTTCTGTAAAGGCATAGGGAAGTGTGGTGTAGTGGTTAGAGTGCAGGACTTGGGTTATTTTGAGGGGAAGGTTGTGCATCTAGAGGCAGACATCTGTGTAGAAAGGCTGTAGTTCAAAGGGTAGAGCAGATGCTTTGGATGTAGAAGGTGCCAGGTTCATTCCCCACAGGGCTGGGAGAGACTCCCTGTCTGAGATCCTGGGGAGCCACTGCCAGTCAGGGTGGACATTACTGAGCTAAATGGACCAGTGATTGACTCAATAGAAGGCAAGTTCCCATGTCCCTATTTAATATCTGTCCTTTGTTCCAAACCATGAAGACTGGAGTCCTTCTTTATTTTGAGGGGAAGGGCTGTAGTTCAATAGTAGGGCATCTCCAGCGCATGCCAGGCTCAAAGCCTGGCAACATCTCCTGGCAGTGCTAGGAATGTCCCCTGGCTGAAACCCTGGAAATACACTGCCAATCAGTGTTGAAAATACTGAGCTAGACGGACCAATCGCCTGACTCGGTATAAGGCAGCTTTTTATGTGTAGAAAAATAGTACAGGAGACATTAAGCAAAGGTTTTCTTTGCTTTCTGGAGTTCGTACACTACTTTCAACAGGATTTCTAAAGTATTAGAAACTACTGAATTGTCCTAAACCTCCTTCATTAACTGGGGGGCGGGGGGGCGGAGGGGAGGTAGATGAGAGTTTCTTTTAGCTATCACTGGTTATTTTGCTGCTCTCATATCTACCGGGCAACATTTTTAACGTGGAAACAAAGCCTGATGTGAATTAAGCGTATCCGTTTTCTTTCATGTTGCCCTCTGGACAGTTGCAAATCTGGTTCTGATTTGAAGACTGCTTTGGTTGGAATAGAAGTTGTTTCGGGGGTCAATCCTGCCAGATCATTCACACAGATGATGTAATTTTCTGCACATTTTAACAAGTGCCGGCTGAAAATATCTCACACATTCCCCCTCCCCCTGCCAATCATTCTCTATAAATTAATGAGAAAAGAAATTGTACTCAAAAATTATGGGTGTAAATCTTGGGCTATGGCATTGTTGCTGTAAGGACTACTAAGATCACATGCAAACCCTATCCCTAACCCTCATCCACTTGAGTCTGTAGTACTGGCACTCTTACAGGTTCCATATAATCCTTGTTCTACTCTTGTAAGAAAGTAATTATTCAGTGTGACAGCATCTACACTTTGGAACTCCCTGCCTATTGATACAAGGCAGGCGCTGTTATGTAGTGTAGTTTCACCCTGGGCCAACAGGGGGATACTGTATATAGTTTTCACTCAGGTCTGTAGATAGTTTTCACTCAGGTCCGCGGCAGTTATTTTAGGCGGGAACTCTGAGCTGTTGTGGTTACAATGTTGACAGCCGGCTGCCTATAAATACAGGCCGGCTGAGCTGTTCGGAGTCAGTTCTATTCCAGCTTACCATAATAAAGAGCTACTTGAAGAAATCGCTGTGCCGGCTGCTATGTCAACCCACAACTTAACACTGGCGACGAGGATGGGATAGATGGACATCAGAGCACAGCCAGATGCGGCCAGCCTCTGAACTGAGCTGAATCACTGAGCTGAATCACAGAGCGAAATCACTGAGCGAAATCACTGGGCAGAACCAATTCAGAGCTGACTGTTCTGGCTAGAGCACTGTGTTCCATCCATCGCCCTTCACGCCGGCATCGGAATCATGGCTTCACTTGTGCTTCTACCGCCGTTTGCGCCAGCCTCTGAATCATGGGACTCCTACCTCGCTCGGTTCGACTGCTACCTCCAAGCCAACGAGCTGACAGCAGTATCAAAGGATCGGAAGCGGGGCCTATTCCTCAGCCTCTGTGGGCCTGAGGTGTTTGAGACGGCCCGAGCGTTGGTTGCGCCTGAAGCAGTCCAGGCAACACCATGGGACACGATCCAAGAGAAGCTCCGCAACCACTACGCACCAAAGCCGTCCAAGATTGCTGCCCGCCATGCGTTCTACCACCGGAACCAGGCAGAGGGGGAGTCAATCAACAACTACACCACCGCCCTGCGACAGGCTGCAATGCACTGTGAGTTCCGAGACTTAGACGATGCCCTGATGGATCGAATCGTCTGCGGGGTCCGGGACATCCATCTGCAACGGCGCCTCCTAGCCAAGTCAGACCTCACGCTACAGAAAGCCATTGAGGAGGCTGTGGCCTCAGAAGCTGCTGAACGCTCCGCCCAGGAGATCCGCAAGTCCAGCAGCCCGCGTCTTGTTAGGGAGCCAGTTCCGGTGCATCATGAAGAGGCCAGCAGTGAGGAGGCATCCTCCAGTGAAGACGATGACGTGCACCAGACAAAGCGGGAGCGCAGGAAGTTCCAACAGAAGTCCAAGGGCCAACCGGAATGTGCTGGCTGCGGAGGCAACCATTCCCGTGCCAAGTGTCGATTCAGAGACGCCATCTGTAGGAAGTGTTCCAGAAGGGGCCACATCGCTAAGGTCTGCCGATCGGCTCCGTCTGACACCCCCCCTTCATCGACTCGCAAGTCCAAGTCTTCACTCCAGTCTGCCAAGGGAAGTTGTTTCGCTCTCACCAACTGCCGCTGCCCGTCTGGAACCACGATTGGCCAAACCGACTCGCCTACGCGACGCAAGCTGAACGTCACGGTGCTCATTGAAGGAGCTCCATGTGACATGGAGATCGACACCGGGTCTGCCCTGTCCATCGTGTCATGGAGCACCATCAAAAGACTGGTACCCAGAGTGTCCAAAAGGCAACTCGACTCTCACCGCGTACACCTGAGAGACTACCAGGGAAACGACATTCCCGTGGTAGGCGTTGGCCGGTTCCGGATCGCCTTCAAGGATTTTTCGGGCCTGCTCCGGTTGGTGGTGGTCGAAGGTCAGCGGCCAAGCCTCCTAGGGCTAGACTGGTTTGATGCCCTCGGCCTGGAAGTCACCGGCATCAACTGCATCTCTAACGCAGAGACTGAGGGTCTGGTCAAAGACTTTGCCGAGGTTTTTGACGGCACCTTGGGCCAATATACAGGTACGCCCATCTCCTTTAGCCTTGATCCACAAGTCGCCCCCATCAAGCTAAAGCCACGCCGGGTTCCCTTTGCTCTCAAGGCTAAGGTGGACGAACAACTGGACAAACTGATCGCCCAAGGAGTTTTGGAGCCGGTTGACCACGCAAAGTGGGAAACCCCCATCGTCACGCCTGTCAAGCCAGATGGGTCGGTGAGAATCTGCGCTGACTACAAGTGCACGATCAACAAGGCACTTCAGCAGCACGCTTATCCGGTTCCTGTTGTCCAACACCTGCTGCATTCCCTGGGTGAGGGTAAGGTCTTCGCTAAGCTGGACCTTGCCCAAGCCTATCAACAACTGCCAGTCGATGATGCCACTGCTGAAGCCCAGACGATCGTCACCCACCGGGGGGCATTCCGTTGCCGCCGGTTGCAGTTCGGGGTGAGTGTGGCTCCTGGCATCTTCCAAAGCCTTATGGAGCGTCTCCTGCAAGGGCTTCCGGGCGTGGTACCATATTTTGATGACGTCTTGGTGTCTGCAGACTCACACCAGCAGCTGTTCGAGCGCCTCCGTGCTGTGCTGACCAGGTTCCAGGAGGCCGGGCTCAAGGTAAAGAGGGAGAAGTGCCAGATCGCCGTTCCACAGGTAGAGTTCCTGGGCTATCTTATCGATGCCTCTGGTCTTCATCCAACCGCATCCAAGATCCGCGCTATCCAGCAGGCCCCCACCCCAAAGAACAAAACGGAGTTGCAGGCATTCCTGGGGCTGCTGAACTTTTATAACATGTTCCTGCCCCACAAAGCCACAGTGGCTGAGCCTCTTCACCGACTCCTTAGCACTAAGACGCCTTGGGCCTGGGGTCATCGGGAGACGGCGGCCTTCAACGCGGTCAAGGCTCTCCTTTCTTCAGACAGTGTGCTGGTACAGTACAGTGAATCCAGGCCGCTGGTCCTTGCCTGCGACGCCTCACCTTTTGGCATCGGTGCTGTCCTTAGTCACCGTTTTCCAGATGGAAGAGAAGCACCGCTCGCCTACTTTTCCAGGACACTATCTCCGACGGAACGGAATTACAGCCAGCTCGATAAGGAGGCATTGGCACTTGTGGCTGGAGTGAAGAGGTTCCATGAATACCTCTATGGCAGGACTTTTGACCTCATCACTGACCACAAGCCACTCCTGGGCCTCCTCGCCGGTGATCGTCCAACTCCACCGGTCCTCTCACCACGCATGCTGCGATGGACTGTTTTCCTGGCTGCCTACCACTACCGGCTCATCCATCGCCCGGGGAAATCGATGGGCCATGCCGACGCCCTCAGCCGTTGCCCTCTTCCAGCATTTGTGGAAGACCCGGCTCCAGCTTCATCGCTCCTTCTGATTGAGGATCTTCCGGCAGCGCCTGTATCGGCTGCCACTGTGGCCTCCGCATCTGCCCAGGATCGCACCATCAGCCGGGTGCTCAACTGGGTGTGGAGGGGGTGGCCACAAGGGCCTTTTGCATCGGAGTTCCAGCCCTTCGCAACCAGACAACATGAACTCTCAGCTCATCGTGGCTGCCTGCTGTGGGGAGACCGCGTCGTGATTCCCCAGGGACTCCGTCAGCGCGTCCTGGAGTCTCTGCACGTTGGCCACCCGGGAATTGTCAAAATGAAGGCGTTGGCTCGGTGTTACGTCTGGTGGCCTAATATGGACGATGCCATCACTGCCTGGGTGTCCGCCTGTCAAGCGTGCCAGGAGTCGAGGCCTGCACCACCGGCAGCTAAGGGACACACCTGGGAGACGCCAAAGACACCCTGGTCGAGGGTGCACATCGATCTGGCTGGCCCCTTTCACGGCCGGACCTTTATGGTAGTGGTGGACGCCTATTCCAAATGGCTGGAGGTCGCCCTGATGCCCTCCACCACTACCGAAGCTGTCATCCGGGTGCTGCGAGGCCTGTTTGCAACGCATGGGTGTCCTGATGTCCTTGTCTCTGACAACGGACCGCAGTTCACGTCAGGCACGTTTGAGCGGTATCTTTTGGGACTGGGCATCCGCCATGCTCTAACGGCACCCTTTCATCCATCCAGCAACGGGCAAGCGGAAAGAATGGTGCGCTCGACAAAAGAGGCACTGGCGCGCCTGGACCGGGGAGACTGGCATGAGCGGGTCGCCGAATACTTGTTCGTGCAACACATCACCCCTCATGCGGCCACAGGGAGGAGTCCTGCTGAACTGCTTATGGGCCGCCGCCTCAGGTCACCGCTCGACCGGCTGCACCCGGACTTTGCCGTGGCTGAACCCCCAGGCTGTGCCAACGTACCACGGTCATTTGTCCCAGGAAACCAGGTCTTTGCCCGGAACTATGTGGGGGACATCCCTTGGGTGCCAGCCACAGTAGTGGGAGTCACTGGACCTCGCTCGTACCAGGTGGCACTCGAAGACAGACGCTTGTGGCGACGGCACATAGACCAGCTTAGGCGCAGGGTTGGGGACTTGGACACTACCGAGGTGCCCCCAACTGCGCTTGCGGCTCCAGAAGAGACACGTACAGATGGCGAGGCCCTACCTACACCTCCCTCGCAAACTGCCAGCGTGGAGCCGAACCAAGCCGTTTCAGAACAGACTCAGACCACTCCACTTGCGGAGGCTCCACCCACAGCAGCGGATCCAGGGGAGTTGGTTCCAACGCCACCTAGGGTCGCACCACAGCCTCAGCGAGAACTGTGTGGCCCTCCGGACTTGGCTACCAGTCCCCGGCGGTCTGGCAGAGTTTCCAGGCGCCCAACTTATTTAAAGGACTATGTTGTTGGACAGGTATCACTGTTGGTCTAAGTATGGGAAATGTAACCGATATGCTTTTGTGCTTAATTGAACCATTACGCGTAGTGCTGTATATAAGGAAACCATTACGATTGTAACTAACGCCTTATCTCGGTGGGGAGGGGTGTTATGTAGTGTAGTTTCACCCTGGGCCAACAGGGGGATACTGTATATAGTTTTCACTCAGGTCTGTAGATAGTTTTCACTCAGGTCCGCGGCAGTTATTTTAGGCGGGAACTCTGAGCTGTTGTGGTTACAATGTTGACAGCCGGCTGCCTATAAATACAGGCCGGCTGAGCTGTTCGGAGTCAGTTCTATTCCAGCTTACCATAATAAAGAGCTACTTGAAGAAATCGCTGTGCCGGCTGCTATGTCAACCCACAACCTAACAGGCGCCTTCGCTGTACCATTTCCCATGCCTTCGAAAAACTTTTTGATTAGCAAAGCTGAACCACCCATGTCATTTTATTATGTACAGTTGATTTTCAGATCTCTTGGTTTCATTTATATTTTGATATAAATTTGAAGAATTTTATTAAAAAATCAAAATACAGATAACACACACACACACACACACACACACACACACACACACACAGAGTATTTGATAAGACTCCCCTGCTCAGCGCCTGAGGGTCCCAGTCCTGCCACTCACCACCTGGCCCAGGGGCCTGATGTGCTCTATAAAGGACTGCTGCTGCCGCTGCTGCAGCTGGGCAGAGAGGGCTCCATTTTGTTTTGTTTTGTTTTTGTTTTTTGTTTAAATTGCTATTATTTTTTTACCTATGTCATTTTAAACTGTGATATTAATGCTGTATTCTTAGTTTTAGATTTTTATTTATGTGGAAATTGTATGTATTTTTTTTGATGTGGTTTATTTATTCTTTATGACTTTTGTAATTATGTAAATCTTGTTATGCTGTAAGCTGCCTTGAGCATTGTTTTTTTAACTGTGGAAAGGCGGCATACAAATAAAAAATGATGATGATGATGGTACGGTTGTGTCAAGTGCTGGTCTTACTCAGAGTAGACCTGTTGAAGTTAACAGACATGGCTAACTTGCGCCCATTAATTTAAAGTACAGTCATACCTCGAGCTGACTGTGCTTCGGGTTGAGCGCGTTCAAGTTGCGCTCTGCGGCAACCCGGAAGTAACGGAGCACGTTACTTCCGGGTTTCGCCGCTCGTGCATGTGCAGACACTCAAAATGATGTCATGCACATGCGCAGAAGCGGCAAAACGCGACCCGCGCATGCACCGACGTGCTGTCGCATCTTGTGTTCTGTTTGGGATGCGAACGGGGCACCGGAATGGATGCCGTTCGCATCCCGAGGTACCACTATAGATTTACTCTGAGTAAAAGTTAGTTGAATGCAACCTATTACTATTTTTAATAAATGTTTTATACTAATTTTCATAAACCGCTTAGAGATTTGTTTGATCAAGCAGTGTATACATCTTGCTAAATAATAATAATAATATACCATTTGCAGTGAATATTTTAGATCATTTTATGCTGAACACTTACATATTTATCTGTTGGATCAAGCGGTTTTATGTGTCTTGCTGAATAATAATAATAATAATAAAGCCAGAATGCATCGAGACAAGTGAGCTCTATGCGAATGGAAGAATCACTGGCGCGATGTCTGTGATGTATCATCGCCTGTGCTCTCTTGAGCACCAGGATCTCCCCTTGACAGTTCTCAGAAGCTCCCAGGCATTTGCCTCCGTGTGAAATTTCAACATTTGGATTTGCATTTGGCTGCTCCTGCCAAAGTCTCCCAGTGGTTTAAGAATGGCTTGAAACTAAGCCACATATCACTCCATCCTTTTGCTTCCTCTCTCCCCCCCCCCCTGTGTATGTATATATAATATAGTTGCTGCCTCCTACTGTCGACAGGAGCTGCAGGATGGATTCATTTTGACATGTGGCTTTGAATCCTGCTAGCTCCCATCTTAGCCAGCTGTTCCAGGATCCCCACCACCACCACTCTGTACTCTGTTACTGAACCAAACTGGAGTGGAGACTGGGTGGGGGAGGAGGAAGAGGAGGTTAGGATGGCAACAGCCTCATTCGCTGGCTCTTGTGCTGTGCTCTTCTGAATGGTCCAGAGTCTCATATTTCAAAAAGCTGATGGAGAAAGACTCCAGCCAAAACTACTTCTCAAGGGCGGGCTGGAATGGGCCTCACTCGTCTCCAGGGATCATTATTCATGTTTTTATTGGAAGTACAGAAGGAAAAGGTTTCTCTCTTCTTCTTTTTTTGGATGAGGAAGGGGTGTTGGTGGAGAGCGATCAGGCGATTGGGATGGAGAGGGGAGTAGTTGGGCAGTGGAGGGCAAAGATGTCTGCGTAAGAAGGATGGGGGAAATTTGTTCCAGAGGGGGTGTCAGATAGGGATGGACAAATCTGTACATTTCAGTTTCTCAGTTTCTCATTTTTCCAATCTTAAGTTTTGTTCTCCACTTTCGCACATCAGTTTTCCATTTTTGAAAAAAATTAAAAAGCCTCCTGAACATTTGCTGGTGTTTGAGTGCAAATTTCTCCTCATTTGCACATTTTTTGGTACTATATTGCTTAATATACAGATTTTGTTGCTGTTGTTGCAAAGCATGATCTTTATATTTTCCTAATAATACATTGTTGGGTGTCATTGCAGGACTAAGATGACCCTTAGGGTCCTTTCCAAATATACAGTTATACGTCCAAGATTTTCACTAACATAGGCATTTGTTATGCATGCTTTGCCTTAGCATATGCATTTTTGTACACATAGTTTTGGCATTGCAAAATTCAGGGAAGTGCAAATTCTGAAGGATGGCTATTTTCAGTTTGTGTTGTGTTTTGGAAGGTATAGATTTGGTAGACTTGTTTTTAAACACCAACTGAATAAAATGCACCACTCACCCCCAGCTTCAGGTGTGGCCTCAGAGTTGATTAGGGTTGCCATATTTCAAAAAGTGAAAATCCAGACACAACAGTATTCAGAAGCATCGCTGTCTCTAACCGTGGAGGCAAAGCATAGCCATCGTGGCTCCCTCCTCCTCCATGAATTTGTTGAAGTCTCTTTTAAAGCCAACCAAATTAGTGGCCATCATTATCTCCTGTGGGAGCAAGTTCCATAGTTCAACTCTGCACTGCATCAAATACTTGCCCTGAATCTTTGAACATTCTGTTTCATTGGATGCCTAGCAGTTCATGAGTTGCAAGACCCTTTTAAAGCCATTTAAGTTGGTGGTGATCGCTGCCTCCTCCATAGTTTGTCATACGTATAGGACAATATCTTCCACAATCTCTTCTTTCTGTTGTTCAGCTGCTGTTGCTTTTAAGGGAGAGTTGGGCTCCGCTTTCCCACTGCATAGGAACTCCAGGCCATTTCCTCCATGAGCAGGGCTTGGATGGCACATTGGATCATGCAGATGCCAAGCAAAGGGGTATGAGAGTCTTCTTGGAAACATAAGGGATTTCAGCAGATTTCCCCCCACCCCACCCACATTCTGTTTTCCCTGCCTGAAGCCGTTTTAGCTCACGCACGATGCTCTGTCACAACAATGCTACCATCTTGCATGGATGGGTGCCTAATTGCAGCTCAGGAAAAAGACAGAGAGAGAAAGATTGTGTAGAAGGACTCCCATTTGGGAGTTGGGATTTCAGGAGTAGGGATTCCTGAAGTGTTTTTGGGTTCACATCTGCCTGCAAAGTTACACTGGATCCCCAACAGTCCCTGGGCAGAACCTCAACTCTGTGTGGTCTTGGGAACCCACTGCCCCTCAGCCTAGCAGACCTCAAAGGATTGTTGTGACAACAAAAAAATTGAAACCATCCCATGCATTGCTG